AATAGAGAAATTCAGTTAGAATCAAAACCACGACTCAGTTTTTACATATAAATAATAATTTTTGAATTACCACTTTTTGCACCAGAAAGAATCTGTCTCCTTGTAGCCTAGACCATTGTGGCTTAAAAACTTTAATTCCTAAGCACAAATACACTTCCAAAATCTTCTGTCATAGTGTCTACCATGGATATCTTCATAAATTCATTTATAAAGAGCTGCATAATAAGCTAGAGAAAGCCAATACACTGTATTGTTAAACTCAACAGAAAGCTCCATATACAGTACAGCAACAGGAGACCATAGGCAATTAACACTGTAAATTGAAAGGTTTAGAATCTTTGCATGACCTTTAAAGGTCAACAGTTGCCCATTCACTTGCATGTAATTACACAGTGACTAGTTCATAGCAGCAAAAAATAAAAATATTTAGTAAAACAAACCTTGCGTTCATCAAAGGCTACTTTGCACTCTCTAGACTTTATGTGAAGAGTTAGCTTTACATAGCACAAGGAGATAAAAGAGCAAAGGAGCAAGCAACCAAACAAAACTCCTTTGTCCCATTTTGTCAGAGGACTAAACTCAGCTTACCACCATAATTGGTAAGAATGCAACATTATCACATTATCCAATCTCTCTGTAAAGAGTTTTGAAAATATACTGTATAAAAGAAACAAATATAAATATAAATTGAATTGAAACACTTTGTGCTATTGCTAGGGGTAAGGTAAATGTACCTTTGCTAACCAGCCATTCAAGGGAAATCATAAAACAATTATAGCTCCTATGGAGTAATTTAGGAAGTGAATAAAAGGGCTTATAACTCTTAGTTACATCTCACACCTCATATGAATCACTGCAAACAAAATAGAATATTCTTCTTATAGCTTATATGTCAACTTTTCATCTGAATCCCAAGTAACCTGAAAGTCATTTTTTTCCAATGGACTGTCAATTGCCTAAATAGCCCAGATTTTCACTGATTCCAGTGACTAGCTTGCCCATTACTATAGCACAGGCTGAAATCCAACATATACATGTGGTATACACATTGGAAATGGGTGTGTTTCAGAACTCTAACATAAACTTAAAGTATAATATCAATATATTTCTGGGAAATTTGTGGATACCATTTGTAAACAAGAATAGTATGCTCTAATGGTTTGTGTTTTGACTGTGGAGGTTCATATTTAATGAAGACAGCATACAAATATATTCAATGTTTTAAATGTGTTGGAATTCCCTTAGTGGCAATAAACAGATTCCAAGCACCCCTAAATGGAGGATAAAATTGATGTTTTTTTTTTGCAACTGTAGCTAAGTAAAAATAGGTCCAAAAGAAAAGCTAAAGAGAAAATATACTGCATGTAACCTGGATCTAACAGTAACAATTATAAACAGCCTTGTTAAACCACGGATACAGTTGCACCATAGGTCAAATCATGTAAAATAGTGAAAAACAGTGTATTTAAGAATATAGACATTTTTTAAAGGTCATTTGCACCCCCATTAACACAAAACCAGTATTTTATGTGGGTGTCATTAAAAGCATATGCATGCATGTGTACATTATATGTGTATAAAAAAATTCGATAGATAATGCAGAGAAATAGTTAATTACTACTCTTCTTCACATTCCAATAAGCCTAATCATTCCTCTTAAAATTTCTGTTAAGAATAAGTAGAAGAATTGTTATAGTTCATCAACAAGGACACTGAGTCACTGTGCTGAATGAATCAAATTAAACTTTCTATTACCCAGTAAATTAGTGGTCAGTAAAACTAAAAACAAAACCTAATGTCTAGGTCTCTACTTGCTAGTCCCACCTCTCCATCTCCCCCGTTTCAGACTATGCTCAAAACCTAAAGTAAAACTGCTCTGAAAAGACTAATGGTAACCCATTGTGAAATTATCCCTCCTCTCCCAGTGGTATAGTTCAATAGGCTACATGTACCTTAACATAAAAATAACCAAAGAATCTCCTAACAAAATGGCAATTCACCATATAATGTGACATTAAAAAAAAACTCAATGGTTCATAAGCAAGTTATACCATGTGAAATACTGTGCAAGTATGTGGGCTAGATAAAAGGTTGATTCAGCTGGTTTGACCTCCATATCTAGCAGCAGTCTGTGTTAAGGTGTTTCTTTGTTTTGATGGAGCCCTATTAATAACAGGTTGATGAACTGCATTTGTAAATGTCAGGCACAGATCAAAGAGGACTATATGAGGTGCTTCTTTTTACTTCAACTTATGGTTTTCACCAAGAAAACAAAACTGCATTGCACAGTAAAGCTCCTTATTTTTGCTTGAATCTTCAACGAACAGAACAGCTGCAGAATAATGCAGCTTAATGAGGCATCCCTAATAAAATACTGAAGAAGTAAAAGCAGGGGAACTGAACTGTTTGCACTCTAGCTGTTTCATCTTCTAAAATATATTAGAAATAACTGATGACACTTTGGAACATTCCTAGTTTGGGACATGCATTAGAGAGGCAAATGTTCATCAGCTTGCTGCTACAGTTGAACTTCGGCAGAGTCCGACCATACTGGTTAGTAGGGGTTATTAAGGCTTGTGATAAGAAATGCCTGAAAAATGCAATTGGCAACAAATAAACCCTAAAATGCAACTTCAATATTTCAATATTCAAAAATACATTGTAAAAGGACCACCATTAAAATACTATATCAAAAATATTATATTGAAAATATAATATAGAACAATTTTCTGATATTATATAAGTTTTATAAAATTGTCTATCACCTGAATTTTATCACCTTACAAATTTTTAAAAAGAAGTAGCCATGTCTAAAAACAGATCTTTTTACAGCTATGTCATCACATTTTACAACTTGGTGGCTAGTAAATACTTCAATTGGTCTCTAAGCAATATGCACATTTTTGCCATAAATCCATAGGAATCTCAATGAATCTTCAGTCTCCAATTTGTCATTGTTAAAATAGCTAGTATTTTTCAGTTTCAAAATCACACACTCAGAAACCTTAGATTTCCTTTTAGCACAACTTGTAGCATTAAAGGTGTTTGCTTTAATGTCAAGATTTTTGGTACTTCAAGAGACATATATCACAGCATTATACATAAGTGTGTAAGTTTCAAGCATCCTAAACTACATTTTAAAATGTCTAATCTCAAAAAATGCCTAATTTGAATAAAGCAACACACCAAAACTGTGTTCTGCCTCCTCAAAGATTCACCATGCCTAAGCATTTAGCTGGCAGTGACACTGCTCTCACACTTACTAATACAGACCAGTTTTTTCATTGAAAGTTAAAATGAGAATAAAATAAGCTCAAGTGTGGTTACTGATTGATGGCCTTTCAAAGACTACTCATGGCTTTAAAAATTAGGACTCTAAAAGGTCAACTCAGGATGATATCAGAACAGAATAAAGAGAAAATTTAATTAAATGTGATCATTTTTAAGATTACAGGTGCCCAATTAGAAAATGTAAAAGATTCACTAGTTTGAGAGTACATGTGCAAACATGGAAAGGTTGGAGTAAATACAAATCATCTTATAGCTCTGGTTTTTAAAGGCTTTAGAAGTGTTTTGAATTTTCTTTGCTAGTTATTGCTGTTCTAGCACTTTACACAGAAATCTTAAATTACTCATTTGTCTAACTTACATTGCCTAATAGAGCAGTTTCAAAGTGCTAATTGATAACAGTCTGAATGTTGATGTCTCAAACAATCTAGTTGGGAAGACAGGAACCTGATAGTTATCATCCAGTCGATAGTATTTGAAATTCATCCCCTGAGTGAGTGAAAAGTCCCTTATACACTGACTGCTTTGGCACTTTGCAGAGTAATGGTTGCATAGAGGTTTGCTTTTGTATTTTCAAGAATGATTTTTGCAAAATTCAAGGGGGAGTTTAACACAAAACGAAGATATTTTCTTTTCTGTCTTATTGCCACAAGCCAAACGCAGTCAGCACAAGGTGACGCGAGGCAGGCTAGCCACTGTAGTAAGTACACATTTGATTCCAAACGCTTTAGGCAATTGTTGAACACACACACGGTCAGGAAGTGGAATACTGAACAGGAAAGCTTCACGTCTACCAGGGGCTCTGCAAGAGCCTACAGTTCATCCTTTTCAAGTGGAGACTAAAAAGCTCAGCCTGCAGTTGTAGGAGAAATAGGGCCACGGACCTCAAACTTTCTTTCGCAAAGGCAGTTTCTGCAAATAACACGTTCCCACCGACAAGTAGTCTAAAGAAAACACCTTTGAGAATATGAGGGGGAAGGGACAGAAAAGCAGTGGGGCAGAAAACCCGTACTATTGGCGAGATTTGGGAGGCATCTATCCGGAAGGAAACGAAAAACCATTAGTTTCTGGAAGCTGTTCTTTTTCTGAACGCTGTTCGTAAAATAATCCTTTACTAACGCTTTTATTCAGTAATAAAGTATCCGCTCCCAAACCCAAACAAACCTTTAAATAGATGAGGCTCCGGAACTTACCAAGATGATTCTTTACGAAAATAGGGGTGGACTAATCAATAGCCTCGATGAAGCGCCCACCCTCTGCCAACAAGCCCGAGAATTAACTAATCAGAAGTGGACAGAAAGTAGGGATTTCAGAAAGGCGACCTTACACTGTTCGTCCCTTGAACGCAACCCCCGTTGAGCTCCTCATCGGGAGCCCAAAAGGGTTAACAACCGGGATCGGTTTGGTTGAGGGACCGAATTAAACCCACTTCAATCCTCAGCGGGGTCGCTCTCTTGAGTTCGCGGAAATGGGGCAGAGCAGAGAGGGAGGGCACCGCTCCCAGAAACGCCCTCGCGCGCTCGGACCCCCGCCCCTGCCCTGTCCCCCGGTGGGTGGGGGCTCCGCGGGCCGCCCCAGCCTGGCTCTCAGCTCCCACCTCCGCGTGGCTGGCCCTACAGCCGCCGACCCTGGGGAGCGGAGGGGCGCTTCCGGACCCCGGGTGCTCCGGCTGCCCCCCGAGTGCCCAGCGCCCGCCTGCGACTCGCACCCACCTGCAGCCCGGCTTCCCAGTGGCGGCAACACCTAGTGAGGCTCCGGCAGCTTCCGCGCGCCCGCGCCAGCCTTACCGCTCTTGCATCGCTTCCAGGCTGCCAACCCGCCGTCGCCGTCCAGGGGCATAGGGAGCTCAAGTCTGTGGTATGTGCAGGTGCAGAGCGCGGAGTGTGGCCCTGAGGCGGTGTGCGCGCTGATTGCCGCTGCAATGGCCGGGAGGGTTCAGGAACCTCTCGACACCCAAACTGGACCCCTCAAAGCGGGTGGAAGGTGGGGCGCGTGAGCCTCGTCTCTCCCCCTCTTAATTCCAGAGCCAAAGTGATTAATCAATCAAAAGATTTGCCTACTGGGAAAAACCGGAGTCCCGCGGCCCTTGCCCGCGATCTCCTGCTGTCCTCGCCGGATGCGCGGGTTGCGTTCAGCGCCCAGACTGCGATAATCTAGGCGGCCGTGCGGCAGTTATGTCTTTACTCCATCTCGGATTTGTTTGCCTTTAACACAAAGTCTTTCCCTCTCGCCTCACGTCGTCTCTCCCTCACCCACACGTTCACACACCCTCCGTTCCCTCTCCCGCCCTCCCCCCAGCTCTCTGGGGAAAGGCAATTGGACCGCCCGATTCACCTTCGGAGAGCAGCCTCCGCCACCGACTTCTCCAGTGCCCTGGCTCCCGCAGGTCCCGCGTCTCCAAAGCGGGGGAGCTGCAGGGGAGGCTCGGGGCAGGAAGAAGAAGCTCTGAGGTTGGCAGCCCTCCGCCCGCAAGACGCTGATCTTCGGATCAGGTGCCCGTTCCCGCCGTTAGCAGATAGGTCCCAGCTGATGCTCTCGGAGACTTTGCACGGAGTCCACTTAGCAGCTACTCCTAGCCAGCTGCAGCTCCTCAATCCCGCCTCCAAGTGCTGCGGGGAAAGCCCCACGCAGCCCAGCTGCTGCCCCTTTAGGCATCGTGGGCTGGAAGGAAGGAAGGAAATTCCACCGCTGCCCCGGCCCCTGCAAGCTGGCACGCTCACCACCGGAAAGATGCGAGTTCAGACATCCAACACAGGCGAGCAGGTGTTGCCTGGTCACTTCGCTAAAGGCGGGAAGGACGAGAAAGGGGCAAGGGTGAAGCCAAGGAAACAAATCGAGATCAAAAAACGAGAAGTAAGCCGGTTAGTAATCAAAGCCTCCTCTCCGCCTCCCACCCCCGGCGCTGTACACTGTCAAAAGACACTGGTGAGATTTTGGAAAGTCACCGTAAAGAACAGAATCTATTCCAGCCAAGCCCCCTTATTCCACTCAGCCCGGCTGTCCAGGGAATACTGAGTGACTGCCTCCCTGTAAAGTGCGAGCTGAAAGCAAGGAGAGAATTAAGTCCCACCACTCCAGGTTGAGTTGAGCTATAAAATGGGATGGCAGGACCAGGCGGCGGTGCTTCCCTCCGTCTCTCTCCCAACAGCCAGTTCTGTTAGCGGCCGTAGCTGCTGCGAAGAGCGAACTGCGCTCCTGCAGAAAGAGAGTAAAAGATGAGAGGGCGGCAATTGGAATAAAAGATGGACTATGTCTCCCTCTAGAGGGAGAACTCGGTTAGAAAGCTTTACTGTGTGCAAATAGGACTCCAATTTCTCCACAAAGAAACCAATATCTGGTTTCAGATAATTTTCCATTTTTTCAAATAAGAACCTCTAATGGATTTAGAGAAAGGATTTGCACTGCATCCCTATGTAAGCAGAGTCCTTGCTATAAAGAAACTTAGTGATATTTACAAAAATGTAATAGCAAGGCCCTGGAAGGTCATACCCTTCCAGGTGTGGTCAAATTGGGTACTGATTTAAGCAGCCTGCTTAAGAAGACTCAAATGAAGGGCCTTCTTAGGCTCACTTTGATCACTTTGGCCAATGAACAGAATCTTAATCTAGTGATTATAAAATTATGAAAAAAATTAAGTAGTAATAATGGATTTATAAAAAGAAAAAAATCTAAAGCAAAAAAAAAAAAATAGGGTACTAATCCAGAAAATCTTACAGATCCCTTGTAGCCAGTAATAGCTCAAAGATACGGTTTTGGAGCCAATATTCATACCTCTTATTCAACTCAACTAATAATTGTCAATTATTAAAATTCCTTCCAGCTTAAAGTTGTGTGCTTTTGTAGCTCTAATTCACTGAAACCATTGATAAACTAGTTATCACATGCTCTTTCCACCAGCTATAAGATAAAAGTAGTACTAGTCACCATATTTGCAAAGAACTATGGAATATATGTTTTATCATTAGTGATTCAATCTTAACATGCTTTGTAATTCAACCGTATTTTGTATCTAAAAGGCATCAGTAATTTGTGTTGGAGTCATTTAAACACAAGATAGTACCACAAATTTTATGTTTGGTTACTTCAGTCAAGTTCAAGCTACATCCCATCTGCAACCTTAATATTTAGATTTTATGAACTAAGTATTTGAAGTTTTACTTTCAAAAAGTTTCTGTATGTTTAAAAATTATAAAGTATGTATTATGATTTCCTTCCCATTCACCATTCACTCTGGATTTTTGGAGCAGTTCTATCTTAACTTGATAATCTAACAGTGTAGGCTTAAAGAAAGAAAATAATTTTTAAGAAATAACTTGGACTAATTGAAGTTTTTTAGCACAAACAGCCACACTAAATCATGTAGGTTCTACTATTTTAGCTAATTGTGCTGTACTACATTTGAAATCAGTCTACTACATGGCAAACATTTGAGGCACCTTCAAATGGTCTCTTTTAAAAGATTCATGTCATGTGATCAAAGATTTTTATTTCTCTCCTCTTAGGAACTTAGTTCTCCAGGGAGCAAATTTTACATTTTGAAATACCTGGCACTGTTTCATTATAAATTGAATGGTAATTCTGTCTGCTATGTGAACTAGTGGGATGGAATCCAAGCAGGAATGATATTGGAAACCTGGGCTCTGTGTTGGAAGGAATAGCCATTTACAAAATCAGTTTAAAACATTGGCCTTCCTTTCCCACAAGAAATACAAAGCAAACATTATAATCCTTCTACCTTCTAACTCATTAGCTTTCTGTGGTTATAGGAAAATCTGTAATTTTATCATACTGTTAAAACTTTTTTGTTGTTAAAATATGTGACATGTTCATCCTTATTTTCCCAATTGAATCCACTGCTTTTACAAAATGAAAAAGTTTAAAGAAAACAAATGCATAATTTAATCACATCATTCAATTTCTTATCCAAATTGATATGATACTGAAATTCTGTAATAACCTTTGTACTTTTTGTAAATATCCAGGAAATTCCTAATAATTTTAGATGAAAATATTTGTATTTCCAGCACCTCCTAGACTTGAAGACCAAACATTTTGCTTTTCCCTCTAAAGTAAAATGGCAAATACCTCCCTCGTTTAATAGAAATTATGAGGTGATACATACATCTTATGGTTGTTTAAACTGCCCCCTCCACCCATGCAAGCTGTAAAAAATAATTGCTTAGAATGTTGAACTTCACTGACTGTAACTCCATGTGTAGCTCTTCATGTTGAGAGCATTTACTAAAATGTCATTTTGGGGCACTTTAAGTTTTCTGCTAGAGGCTTTATATGTTATCTCAAATCCTTATTTCAAATCCTCACAACATTCCATAAAGTAGATGTCATAACTCCATTTTAAGTATGAAAAATATTGAGACAATTTCACTAAGTGGCAGAGCTGGGATTCAAAGCAGATCTACCCAAATCCAAAGCAAGTTTTTGTTCTTTGGTATGATTTGGGCTTTGATTTTTTTTTCTATCCTCCATAGTACCACCACTAAAACATGCTGTATCCTATATTACAGGGAAATTAAAACCATTTAGACTTGGATATGGAAAAGCCTTAGTTAGGGAACTAAATTAAAACATTTGTTTTAAATGAGTTCAAATAAAAATTCTATTATTAGTAAGAATAGAAAGAAGTTACTAGTGTAAAAGATAAAGAAAAATTAGCACCACCTCCCTTCACCACTCTGCCAAGGTCTAGGGTATTAAAACAAATGAACAAATAATTCTAATTTCTAGCACATAAATGAAGAGAAGTTGCAAATACAAGCCACACATTCCCACTTGTCTCCTCTTTTCTTTCTTTGATAACCACCTTATTTCTACCTTTTTCAATAATGCCTCTCCCACTCATCTTTTAAGAGTCTTAAACAGAAGAAAGCCCAGAATCCATTCCATGTAACCCAAGGTGGCATGTGTTTATGTTATTAACTTTTAGAATCCCCGTCACCTAGTTTGGTACCTAACACTCAATAAATATGCTATAAATACTTTGTGGTCAGTAATTGGGAAACCAAACAGGTGAGGTGAGCAGACAGATGCCATGGAAATAAATCAAAAGAACTGCTCCACAGAGTAGTATGAGAAAGAACTGAGTCTGAAAACTCTTCTATTTCTAGTAAGTAGGAAAATAGAATAAACCACTCCAAAATCTAGTGACTTAAAGAACAAACATATAATTTGGTTCACATTTCTGTGGATTGGCAATTTGGGTTGAGCTTAGCTAGGCCCAGCTCAGGGCAGGACCTCTGGACTCAGCTGAGTTCACTTATGTATCCGTGGTCTACTGGCCACATAGTGCCTCACTCCTTATCTGACAATTGGCTGCCCTTAAGCTGGAGTGTTGGGGAGTAACTAGGCCACGTGTCTCTGATCATCTAACAAGCTAGCATAGCTGTTTAACATGGTGGTGATCACATGCTTCTAAGGAGAGCAATAGGAGAAATCTAAATATCCGAGTGCTTTCCAAGTCGGCTTGCATGATGTTTGCTACAGTACCCCCGGCTAAGCAGTTCATCAAGCTAGCCCAGACTCAATGGGAGAAGAAAGACTATCTCTGAATGAGTAGAGCTGCAAAAACACATTCAAGATCCTGGTACAGGAACAAGACTTTGTTTTCTTGTCTGCAATCTAGTACAATAGCTGTCCCAGAGGCTAGCATTTTACAGAATAGCTTAATCCACCAGGTATCTTGTGGGCTGACCTGTGGAAATTTCCATTATAATTCCCATTATAATTTAATGGATGTCTATCTTGGATAAAAAGTTTATTCAGATTATGTCATCTCTGGATCTGCTCCCATTATCAGTTTAAAAGATAGTCTGTCCAATAGCTTTCACTATACAATGCAACATGTTTCTGTAATTCTTTCTCACTAGAAAACACAAATTTTCTAAGATTTAATACACTTGCCCAATTAGCCATGAATCCCAAAGCTTTAATTTACAATTCAGATTTACTAACACTATTATGAACTCTGACTCATTAAGCTAGAAAATCACTGGCAACTTTCACACAGCAGTGAGTGTATCTTCTTTGGTGCATAGTCCTGATATCATCTACTATGGTTATTTAGAGAATTTGTTTACTTCTTGACATTTTACCATGTTCCAAAGAGATGGATAATAACTGTAATAAATGGATTCCCAAATGGACTTGATTGAAATCCTTAGCACCACCACACTGCTTCAGGAAACAGTCTCTACCTATTTAACTCTGGCAGATTATTAAGGCCCAGGACAAGGCTCCTCTAGGAAATCATCTGCAGTTCCCTTAATTCACTGTATTAACTGTTTCTTCTGTGTTTCCAAACACCTGACATTTCCCTCCATCTTAACACTTATCAAGTTGTGCTGTAATTGACTCATTTTTGTAGATTATCACATATTAGACGGTGTCTTGCCAATGGGTTTCAGCCCCAGGCAAGATTACTATGGATTCAACGTGACCAAAGAAATTGACAGCAAAACGTTCTTGGGGTGAAAGGGTTATACCCAACTTTATTACAAGGTGACAGGTCAGTCACTAAAATCCTGTTCACTCAGAGCAAGTCTGCATGCAGCAAGCTGGTCTCTGCCTCTGGGCCCCTCTGCCTACACAGTCATCCTTTGGGCCTGTCTGCACAGTTGTCCCACACAGCCATCCTCTGAGTCTCTGTCCTCGGCACTGCCACCACTCCAGCCTCTGCTTTCCTGCAGCCTTGCAGCCATGCCACCGTGTCGCACCCAGAGCACTGGGCGGAGCTCTTTATATAGAGTCAACAGCCATGTATTACCCACAGGTGTGCAGTGAGCTAGTCAACCAGGGCCAGGTGAGAAACCCGGCCACAGGAACTCTCATTTTATCCACAGACAGCATATCTTTTTATGGCATACAGTCGTATACATCTTCATTTCCCCCAGCAAAGCTGCAGACATGGATGGATGGATGGATGGGTAACAATATATCTCAATTCACACAATTGTGGAACAGCATGCGATCCCATTTAATACCCAATAATAATGACTTCAAGCC